GACAATTAGATTTTTTAATTATGCAACTAAAATGGAATGTGCTTGTTCGTTGAATTCCATATCTCAATCTGCATTGAATACTACAGCTGAGCACTGCGTTTGCCATCCCCTTCAAGGTCTTTCGTGTAGGTCTTAGAAAACAATTTCCAAGTTTGTAAACAGATTTAAATGCTCAGATTCAATCAAAATGTCCTGTGAAAGGAAACGGAACCTAGTAAGAGATATTTAGGTGCGAGGTGTTACCCCATATGCACCTGAAGGGGCTGACATTGGAGACGTGGTTATTAGCGTCGACGGGAAGCTGATCTCCCAGGTGAGCTTTAAGAGTTGGAACATAACTTGTTTGTAGCAAACTGGGCACTAGGTACTCGAGATGGCCTAGAATAGAATAACTTTGGCTTAATCTTGATTTGTCGCTTACTCATATAATTTTAAGGCGAAATAGCTGAATGTAACACTGTAACTTAGGCTTGAAACTTCCCTTTACCAATGGGTTAACAACAATCCGCTAATACTTTTCAAGGTTGGCTCTGCAGCTGATGTCGAGCGCCTCCTAACTGAGGGTCGGCTTATTCGTCTAAGGAAGGGAAGGCGAGCAAGAGGAAGCGATTCGATCAAAGTATAATTCCCCCTATCAAGACTAAACTGCGCGGATTCTTTTTTGTTTTTTCAGATGCCCAGTCAAGAGAAACCCCGACCACCCAAGCCTTGCACTCAGACTGAAATTGCTATTACCGATGAGGCTCGGATGAAGGCCGAGGAGAAATTATTGCGAAGTATAGAGGAATTGCTTCAAACTGAGAAGAAATATGTCGATGACTTGAAAGAAGTGAATTCTCTTGATATTTTTTGAATCTCACTGATGTAATAGTCCAAGAATTTGGTTCAGATGATTGAACGATATCTTTCCATTCCGTCCGTACGCGAAATCATGGAATCAGCTCTACGGTTGCAAAAAATGCAGGTAGCATTTTGCGAAAAACGCTTTTGGATAAAATAATGCTAGAGATTCGTTCAGATGTCTTTCCTCGATTCACTTGAGGAAGCGCTTGGAGACATTGGAAATGGAGACAAAAGTGCTCGACCTCTTGTTCGAGTAAATGCAATGGTTTGGTTGGAAATTATTTTGATCAAATGACCCTTTTCAGGACGCCATAATCCGAGTTTGTGCTCTGTTTGTAAATCGTTGCGGTGACTTCAAAGTCTATGCGGAATATGCAGCCTCCTATCTACGCCTCTTACAGGAGTTACCATCAAGGAAGGATATGCTGGCTAGCTTGGAGGTAGACACAGTCTTGAAAATCAGCTGCTATTACATAATAATATGCGGAAAAATCATTTTGTGTAAAATTGTGTCTGCAAAAATCCACCCCATTATGATAAAAACATG